AACATTTATATTATTTGGCCAGACAGCTCAGTCTTGGTTTTATTAGACAAGAGAATCTTGTTCCTCTCAGTCTGAGAGTCCTTCATGTACATTATTTGCAAATTCCCAGCTGGCTTTCATGTATTTTGCATTGGGATGCACCGAAATTCCAGTTGCCGAAACGTTTCGGCCGAAATGAAAAAAAAAAAAAAAAAAAAAAAAAGCACCGATACAGGTGCCGAAAAAAACCCCACCCCTCAAAGCCTCCTGTTGCTTGGTAGTTCAGTCTTACCTGAGAAACCATCGATACCGGTGTTGGGCATAGAGATGAGAGAAGGAAAGATGGCTGCCACATATGCCCGTGGAGGACCGGAGCGATGTCACTTCCTAGTAATCTAATGCTTTACATTGCAGAGGAGAGATTGGGGGGGGGGGGGGGGGGGTCGGGTCTTATTGACCCCATATCTCTTCATAAAGAGGACCTGTCACTAATTATTTCTATCACAAGGGATGCATGCATTTCTTGTGATAAGAATAAAACGTTATTACAATTTTCTTAACCACCTCCCGCCCGCCTTATAGTCCAATGAAGGGCGCAAGGTTGTTCTCTCGTTCTGGGATGACGTCATATGACGTCCTCCCATTCTCACCGCGCATACGCGACTCAGGGAGCGCGCGGGCGATGCGCTGTGTCCCTCGGACACAGCTGATCACTGATCTACGGAAAGAGCCAAAGATGTTGGCTCAGTCATGTGATCAGCTGTGTCCAATCACAGCTGATCACATGTAAACAGGGAAATGTCGGTTATCGGCATTTCTCTCCTCTCGAGCTGTCACGCTGACAGCTCGAGAGGAGAGGAGAGCCGGTAATCAGCATTCCGGGGAGGGGACATGTACACTGATCATCAGGGCCCTGATGATCAGTGTGGCCCCAGAAGTGCCACCTGTCAGTATCCATCAGTGCCATCTTTCAGTGCTGAACAGTGCCACATCAATGCCACATATCAGTGCCCATTCTGAGCAGCCTATCAGTGCCCATCACTGCAGCCTCATTAGTGCACATCAGTGAAGGAGAAAAATCACTTATTTATAAATTTTTATAACAAAAAGTAAAACATTCAAAATTTTCAGCGGTTTTTGGTTTAAGAAAAAATAAAAAGCCCAGAGGTGATTAAATACCACCAAAATAAAGCTCACAGGGAAAAAAAAAAAATTCAAAAAATTTCATACGGGTACAGTGTTGCATGACCACGCAATTGTCAAAGTGGGACAGTGCTGAAAGCTGGAGATTGGCCTGGGCAGGAAGGGGGTATAAGTGCCCTGTAGGCTAGTGGTTAAAAGGAACAGTGAAGAAAAAAAAAAAAAAAATTTTTTTTTTTAAAAAATTTAAGTGCCCCGTCCCCCTGTGCTCGCATAGTGGTGAACGCATACGTAGGCCATGCCCACATATGTAAACTGTGTTCAAACATATGAGGTATCACCATGAATGTTGCAGAAAATGCAATAATTCTCATACTTGGCCTCCTCTAACTTTACACTGCTAACCTGTAGAAATTTTTAAAGCATCACCCATGGAGATTTTTAAAGTAAAGCAGTTTCACACCATGGTACCGCAGTTTCACAGTTTTTGGCTAAGTGCATTTTGAATTTTTGGTTTCGGTGCACCACTAGTTTTGCACTCAGGTGATGCTTCTATCTAGCCACTGACAAAGCCCAGATCGGTGAAGGGCTGCAGTGATGGTAGTCCTTCCGGAACTTTGTTCCATGTCCACACATTTGGGACCATTGGGTTCTTGGTCACTTCTCTTACTAAAGGTCCTTCTCCCCAAATTGTTCAGTTTGGCCAGGCGACCAGCTCTTGGAAGAGTCCTAGTTGTGCCAAACTTCTTCCATTTGAGAATTATGGAGGCCACTGTGCTCTTGGGAACCTAGAGTGCAGCAGAAATTTTTGTAGCCTTTCCAGATCTGTGCCGTTCAATAATCCTATCCCTGGGCTCCTCAGGCAGTTCTTTTGACCACATGGCTTTTGCTCTGATACAGTATGCTTTGTCAGCTGTGACGCCTTTAAGGCTCCATGCACACTGGGCGTTTTAATAAATAATTTTTAAATTATTTTTTGGCTCAAAAAAAAAAAAAAAAAAAAGTCCAAAAACGCTGGTTTGCTGTGTTTTACACATTAGAGTTTTTATAGCTAAAAAACTCCCCTAGAAACCCACTGGTTCAGCGTTTTTTTGGCTGAAAAAAAAAAAACCAGATTAGTCTGTGTGTGCATGAACACATAGGATAACATGCTGGCGAGTTTACTGGCTGTAGAAAAATAAATAAACTGCCAAAAGCAGCAGCTGTAAAAACCTCCAGTGTGCATGAGGACTTAAGCAGGACATACATGGGTCGATTTTTCAATCGAAAACAGTTAGTTCTGTAATCCGATTGTGCCACCAATGATTTCGAAAATCAGTCGTTTTTCACGAATTTTCCAGCATGCCCGAAATGGGGAGGAACCATGAAAATCGGCCGGTGCCATTTCCGCACTAAGAGCGAAGATCGGCCAATTATTTTTAGATCCGATTTTCAAAAGGAAAATCGTTTGTAAAATTGACCCATGTATGGCCAGCCTTAGAGAGGTGTGCGTCTTTCCAGATCATGCCAGGGTGTAGAAATGAGACACCTGAGCAAAAAAATTTCAAGTGTTATTGCAAAGGGTCTGAATACTTATGCGAATTAAAAATTTCAGTTTTTCCTTTTTCACACATTTATATACATTTCTAAAATTCTGTTTTTACTTTGTCATTAGGGGCCCAGAGTGTTCAAATAATGGGAAAAAATGAATTTAAACAACTGTAATATCAGGCTGCAACATAAAAGCAAAAAAAGCGAAAGTTCGGAATACTGTAATTAAATGCAAACCTGTCTGCCTCTCATTTAGCAAAGTATGCGCAACAGATTTTCTGTTTATTTTCGGGCCCTGCGGTGGAATCCTAAGAAGCATGCAGACAAATTTAGCACTGAAAGCTAGACAGATTTTTTTTTTTTTTTTTTTTTTTTTAATAAAAGCTCAAAGTATGACTAATGTCTGCAAATACTCATCTCTCTTCCAGCATTGCTATGTCCACAAGCTCCCTCAGCAGCTTCTTTTTGGTTCAGCATCTTCTGCCATCTTGATTGGGCAGTTCATTCATTCATCCCAACAGAAAGGCATTCACCATTTACACCCCATTCACATCAGTGCGATTTTCATGCCCTACAACTTTCAAATCGCATGCCAAGTCTCACCATATTGTCCGCAATGGGAGTGGTCATATCGGTGTGGTTCCGACTTGGTGCGATTTGCATAGACATCGGTTATCAGGTGTCCTGCAAATCGCACCTGAAATCAGCGGGTCTCCCAACTTTGACATTGTGCGACTTCACTGGAAGCCGCACTATTTCAAAGTCGGCTTTGATGTTCACTGGGGCTTAGTGTATATTCTGAAGTTTGTAAACAAGAAGGTAAGAAGCCATTATTGCAAGAGAGACATTAGGTCTCCTCTGCAATAGGAGTCCTCCCTGCTTGCAATTTTAGGTTCCTGGGCAAAGTTTTATTTGATCGCAATGCTACTGTAGAGCATATGAAGGATGGATTAAGAATCAAGTAGAAATCATAGTAGTTCTGTGTGCCATGAGCCGTTTAGTGTTGTATAACTATGGGTAGATCTTTTGCTCAACTCAACATTTAACTGACTCAGTACAATAGATTTTGAGAAGGGCCTAACAAGTGTCTAGTACATAATGCAGTTTAGATTTTTATGGATGAATTGAGTTGAATTGTCATAAGAAAAGGCAGTCTTAAGTGCAACAATATAATAAACTCATCCATTATCGATGATGCAAATTTCATATTTTTCTTATAAAGCAAGCTAACTTGCAGGAAACCTCACAAACAATCCAAGCACAGAAAGGTCAAAGTACAAAGTTTAAAATAGGATTACCTTTTTGATACTGTCTTCCTCCTCTTGCCTTTTCTCATAATGCGAAAAGTCATCAAATATGGAAGTGGTATGTTTGTAGCTAGCTATGATTCGGAGAACCTGGCGAGCCTTTTCCAAAGGAACCTCTTGAGTGTCTCGAGAGTTGGTAACAGGCTTATTCTCATTGTTCTCTAATCTGATGTGGCGTAACTGCCCATTGGGGACATCTTTAACAAAAACCCAACGTACATCAAAACGTCCCTTCCATTTGTCCTGAGACCATACACCTGCACAGGTATTATAGTCTACAGCAGATTTCATTTCTGCCACACCACAGAAGTGGCCACTACCATTAACACTGAAAAGCAAGTACACTGGACCTTTGCCATTAAGAGAACGATAAGCTGCATCCAGGCGTTTATTGCCATGCTCAGTGGAGCACCACACATTGTACTTGATGGATCGATGTATGTCATCTTCTGAGTAACTTTTTACAATAAACACTCGTCCAAATTTTGGGTTGCAGTCAAAATCCTTGGGGTTATAGTTATTGAGTGAACGCAGTTTCTCCAAAACAGGATGAGGATCCGATGAAATATGTGAGGCCTGAGTTTGCTCTGACCCTCGATTGCGTGGTGCTGACCAACGTGCTGGAGGATGTGAAGATGGAGTCACTGTAGACTGTGGTGCCACTGGAGGCGATGGTGGTTGGCAACTGTTGGAGGGTGCTTTGTTTTCCCAAGTTCCAATCTCCATATTGTGCTTCACAGGTGGAGGAAGAGTCTTTCCAATACTCTGCTTGGCAGGTTTACTGGCAATATCCGCCCACGATGCCTGCTTTGGTGGAGCAATGGTTGCAGGGGGGAGGTTTACACCTGTTTTAATACCATTTCCTTCTCCCATTTTTAGTGCCCCCATGCTCTGTTCTAGACTGCCAACTGCTTTGCCACCACCAAAACTGGTCTGCTCATCCAAAACAGCTCCTCCCAAAGTGCTTGGAGCATATGCATAGCTACCACCATAACCAGAACTAGGAGCAGATGCACCAGGAGAGCTTCCTCCGCTACCCCAGGCTGAAAAGTCCATGCTACTAGGAAAAAAGTTAAATCCAGGTTGTCCCAAAAAAGGTGCACTGCTTAGAGGTCCAAACATGGCATCTGGCAAAAAGTGGGGCTCACCACTGCCCAACTGTCCATAAGAGGCAAGAAAAGGCATGGTTGGTGGCGGGTCCCCTCCAGTAGACCAGGCAGCATCATTCATAGAGTAAGAGAAACCAATGGCTGGTCCATAATAACTAGGAAGGTACGAGTCTGACAAGGCAGTGTAGCCATTATTCTAGAAAGAAAAACAAAAAATCAATAAGTGTAAAAAACATTAACCATAAATAAAGAACTTGTAAAAAGAGGGAATCCATTGCACAAATGTCAATCTCAGAACAAGGCCTATTATAATTTTCTTTTTCTAGGTGCCATCTATCAATCTATAAAATTTTCTTGAAACCAACAGTTGCATGTTGCTGCAGGAAGAAACGCTCTGAGAATCGTAAGGATAAGCCGATTGTTGGTGATACCTTCATGACAAAGGAAGTAGATGCATCAAAATACATAAATTGGAGTAAATCATATAGAAAAACAGTGCCATTGACATCTACAGTTACTAAAATTTTGTAGTCTTCAAGCCCACAAAAGGAGGGCTCTGATGTAGAAATGTCAATGCTTCACCACTAGGTCATAGCTGTATAAAACAAATATACTCACCAATAACCGAGCATAAAAAAAAAAAAAAAAAAAAAAAAAAAAAAAGAAGAAGGAGGTAGCAGGGGTATTGGTCACCGTTTCCATACAAGAGCACCCCACAGATTCTTTACAACAAATCAACTGCACATGAAGCCATCCAATTCCACTAAATGAATGTCCAATTGATAGATTGTATGTAGCAACAGATTTGTTTTAATATCGGGGATAAACAATAAATGTTACCAAGTTAAAGGTTTCTCAGCTTTGAGTATATTAACCTAATCTTTCCCTAAAAGGGTTCTTCACTTTGAGAATAAAACATTTGTTTAGATCCTTTTTAAAATGTGCTAGTATCCTAAACAAAAAACTGTCAATATGCCAATAAGCAAAGCCTATGACAAATACAATTTCTTGTTCATAAATCAAAGGGAAATATGAAGGCTGCCATTGCTGGCCTATCACTGAAAATGCTAGCTCTTTGGCTGTGTCCGTCTTCAATACCTTCATAGATGTTGACATGGAACATGCATGGACATCAGGAAATTGTAAATGCAGAAAGACTTATTGGTGTGCATAATTGTTCCAGGTCAGTAACTCAAAGTACAAAATGAGTACAGTGATCAGCTTAACTAGGAAACTAGTATTTTGGAAGAATGGTCAGCAATGGCAGTCTACATCTAACCTTAGTACAAACATTTGCATGACTGGCAACTGCATTAACACACTATTGGTACAAAGAAAAAGGATTGATTCTCATACATTAAATAACTTTTACAGTCTCTTGATTGTGCACATGTGACAAACTGGCTCTTTGGCAGTTAATCTACTATGCAATACTAGATCCTAGACCTGCTAAATTTAAAGCAGGGTGATAAAAAAAATAATAGGATATATTCTAAAGTTACTTTTGTAAAATCAGTTTTAATTTTACTTTGTAAATTAAGCAAAAAAATTATAGGGCCAAGAAATCAAGATAAAAACTGCAAATGCAATCCCTGTTTCCAATGATTAAATGACAGCTAAATCAGGTTGCACATTATGAACATTCTTCATTCTTTTATAGTTTTGATGCTATACTAGGTACAATATAGCAACATCAGCTTTAACAACACTTGGACTTAAAGTATTACAAAACTCAACAGTAAAATCAGTCTGTACATGCAGTAAAACATGCTTATTATACTCACTGTGGAATCCAAGGGGTTAATCCTCCACATTGTGTGAAAAGGCTGTTTGATCCTGTCTTCTCTGATCCTCCCTTTAACTGTCCCCAATTTATCTGCTAATAGTACAGAGCTCTAGGAGTCCCCTGCACATGCTCAGTTTAATGTGTATCGCTAGAGTTTTTTTTTTTTCTTTGTGATTGCCAAAGGGCCAATCAGCACTGTCCAGACAGAGGGTCAGGGGTCATGTTCACAGGACAGTCAGCAGAATGAAAACTCCTACAAGATTTAACCACTGCTCGGCTGGACACCGATAGAAGTCACAAGACTGCTATATACTTCGATGAAAAAAAAAAAAAAGGTATTAGCAGTTTATATTTACTGCAATAATAGCAGTTCCATGTTGTGTGTACTGTGAGAGACTAGATATATTGAATGCAGGGTCATGGGTTTAGTAACACCAAGTCTCTTCCACCTACAGGGGCAACAACTGTAGAAGGTGTCAATTCACTTTTAGACTCTAATCTTAGAAGAATTCTATCCTCGCCTGTTTTATCCTGAGTCTACCTCCAGTACTTTGCGGAAAAATGTGCTGGTCCGTGTGTCTCCAAATGTTCAATGAAGCGCATTGCACCAAGCACCCAGTCTCCCAAAGACCCACTGTCTTAAATGGTTTCAGTGGTGTCAGTCACTGCTGCTGTCCTATATGAAACTTCCAGTTTGTTCTGGATGAAAAAGTTACTGCAGCGCCCTGCTCTCAGCACACTAAATCCCAGGCTAAGGAACAGCAGCTAACAGTGTACTATAAGTTGTTGCTCTGTGTGTGAATACGTGTTGGTAATCACGACAACTGACTTGCTGTGTTCTTTATTGTATTAGGTGATAATGTTCTGTATTATCTACATATACAGGAGGAGAACAGAAGAGCTCACACTTGTGTCATGTTATGCAGCATGATATGGACTGCAAGCACACAGCACCTGGCTTATGTCTCATACACATGGAGAATATTGGACAAATTAGTTTTTTTGCATGCTAATCTCAAACCGAAAATTTATAGGTTAAGTTACGAAAATTCTCGTAACACAATACAACTTCCTGTGATCATGAAACATTGTATTCTTTTGTTTCCAAGCATGTGCAGTCTTGGTCACTCAATTTTTTTTTTTTTTTTTTTTTTTACAGACGGACACTGATAACACAAAAATGTTTTAATTTGGTTATCTTACAAGAAACATTTTCGTGCTTGTCCCTTTAGAAAATTTTGCATGAACTGTCATGACCGGCTTCTGAAAGCTGTGTACCAATGATCAGATTAATCGGATGACTGTTGCAAAAGTGGTATTTGTCGGATTTTCTCATGTACATTAGGCATTACACGGTTTTCATTTAGGCAAAGCCGTGTAGTAATTTAGCTAGGAATGTCAATCACCGTGGAGCGGACATTACTGCAGTGGTGTGCAGGCTCACCCTGTGTTCCACCAGAGGCCAGTGTAAACCAGTGTGAAGAGACCAAGGATGGGCATGTGGCCCCTTTATTCTCTCCATTAATAGGTTGGGAAAACACAAACAAAAATGAGAAGGAAGCTGCACAGCATGCAAGGGAGGCAAGGACGGGAAGCAGAACAAAAAACAAAAATGTGTATCTATAGCTGCAGACTGGAGTTCTGTCTTACAGCTTGACAAGATGAAAGCATGTATGTTGCTAGCAGTAATGAGCAACAAGTGCACTTTTTATTTTAGAACAGAACCTGTAGAATCTGTAAAGGTGTTAGAGAAGGTAAAGTTCACACAATTGTGACAAAAGGAGAAAAAAAAAAAAAAAAATGATTACCTGTCTTTCCTGTGTATGTAGATATGGTTCAAATTCATCATCAACGCCATCTTTCTGATGAACACTTCCATTTTGAACTGAAAACACATACAGCAGTCACTAAAAATGAACATAATACATATTTACCTCTTCAAACCCTTCCTAGATTTTTTTTTTTCTTTGGTTAGTACAATTTAAGAGGAAATTGAAGACCGTATGGTAGGGTTGGTATGCACCTTTGTCTATACCTACGGTTTTATATATCAGGGAAACACAATTTCAGGCAGTGTAGCAAGATCTCAAACTATACACCACACTGAAAAGGCTCACTTTATAGCCAACCATAACAGCACTGAATTCTTTCTATCACTTGGGAGTGAAGAAAGGAAGCCCAATGCTGATCGCATGTGAAGCTTTCACATAACTGAGGTTTCTCACTGGCATGTGACAAAACTTGACCAATCACATTAGAGAAGGGGAGCGAGTCACATTTCCATACCCAGAAGCACTGGGTATTTCTGTTCCTGGCAGCAAATGAATCAGGAAGAAGACTATATGCAGAAGAGGTGCTGCTCGTTAAAGTGAACCTCTTCCTTTGTCCTGCATGGGTAAAGCACAGGTTCACTTTGAGTTAGAGTACTAACACTTCACCTACATTGGTATTTTGCATTTTGTACAATGTCTAAACTTATGACGAATATGCTTTTATCAAAATTATTTGATTACTATATCACCCACATGTTCTATTCACACAACCTGGTGGGAATGCAGAATGTTTGGATTTCAAATTAGTAACTAAAATAAGCAAACCTGCATAGTTAGCTTTTTGTTAAACCTAATTGACGCGTTTCTTCCTTAAAAGCTAAATAAATAAAATGGACTTTTCGAATAGCTGTGTATATTTACTTTTATTGTTTCTGTTGAAAGGTGGATGCACATGTCCAGAGTTCCCTCATTAGCAACGCAGAAGCCAAGACCTACGACTTTTAGCCCCTTGTTAGGACAGGATACTAAATCTAGTTTACAAATGACACCGAGATCCACCAGCTCAGTATAAACAGGGTTAATCATTCTAAACATTAACTCCCCAAGCACCTCCCTAACACTAAATAGAGGAAAGCTTCAGTTTTGGAGTTCTCAGAAAAAGACAAACAAAAATGTAAGCAATTTAAAATATTTAAGTTATGTTGTGTAAATAGGAACCTGCAACAATCAGATAAATGTTATGCCAGTGGTACAAAAAGGAGGGAGCCTCAACACCAAAAGGGCTGCATATATGCGTACCGAAATGTAAACAAACCTGTGCACTCCTGGCACAGTTACAGGTGACTAACATAAAATACCAATTGGGAGCTTTCTGATCACAGGACCACTGTGACAGCCAATCACTGTGATCACATGACTATAAACCCCACCCTGCCTCCCAGCATCAGAGACCACTTAAAGAGCTGGGAGGCGCCGCATAGTAAACCTATGCATTTACAATGCAGGAAAAACATATGTTACTTTAATACCTCCGATCAAAATAATTTTCCTTTTCCACACCAGCACAAACTTACCTCTCCTGCAAGTTCAGTCAATGGGAGTGAATGAAGAAAGCCTTATGTAAGCTCCAGGCAAAGGGCTTTCCCCATGTGTCTACACCAATCCCCAAACACATGGGACAAGTCAATTGCCTCGCCATACCTAAAAGGGTATTATATTCACATCAGCAGCTGAATGGAGCAGAAGGGGAGAATAGAAAAAAGTACATGCTGCTGGAGAAGGGAGCAAACCTGTTTCTAGCCTTGCATGTGCAAAGCACAAGTTACCCTTACAGATTCCAGTTCTAACTGGATGTTATCTAGTACTACATAATCAATTCTTCCTACATCCCTGTTGCTAAAAGCAAATTCTTTGCCATTTTAAAGGTAGACCACATTTCAAAGCACCTTTCCAACTCGCCCTCAGGCGTCAAATGCCTATGAAATACAAAATACAATACAGAAACATTGCATGTTACTCACCTTTGCTTCCTTGCCCTTTGGGTCTCTGCAAAAAAAAAGAAAAAAAAAATACTGTCAGAACTTAAACACTAAGATGTCTACAGGGAGCACAAACAGATAAGTCATGAGGCGCCAAGAAAATAAATGGGGCACACAAATCAATGACCGCATACATGATCTAAAAGTAATCTTTGACGTGACTATCACAATATGACTTGCTATGCCACAAGTTAGAGGAACAGTAGCTGTTATTGACTAGATAATTAGCTTGGGGTTGTTGGGAGTTAAAGCTGATCTGAACACTTAGATGGCCAGAGGAATGACTGGAAAATAAATGGGCACACAGAGGTCAATGACAGTATACATTATCTACAAGTGATCTTAGAAATGAAGGGGCTAGATAGCAAGAAGCGGCAGGAAGTACATGGCCCACTGACTGAGAACCAAACTACTTTTTTCTAGTATCACACTCCCAACCAACAAAAAAAAAAAAAAAAATGAATTACTATTTTCTGTTGGCGAGAGGAGAAAAAAAAAAAAAAAAAAAAAAAAAAAAAAAAGGCCAGGGAAGGGACAATGAAGGCCAATTTAGCATCTGTAGGAATTAGGTGGAAAAGTGTTTCAAGCTGACCAAAGGTTTTGCACCAAAATGCCAGCAATTGGTGTGCAGGACCACTACGTGTAGAGGACATCACTGATGTCCACATCCTCTGAATCATCACTGTGATTCGGTTTGCTTGAGCTATATGGGCAGGAACCCAGTACCATCTGTAGTAAACCTTGTAAGCCGACTCCAGAGAAGTGTTAAAAAGAGCTAGTTTGGATCAAGATCTGCTCCAATCTTCCAAGTCTATCAGGGTCACAAGGTCCTGTTCTCAATGACTCATGAGTGTCGAAAAGGGGCTGTAATTGTTCAAGGTAGCATATATGATGGAAAACAATCCTGGGGATCCAGGGGAGTGAAGGCTGACATGTTCAAAGCTCACTTTTCTGAAAAAAGAAAGTTGCAAGATTGACGTAAAGACCATGACAAATTTGTAGATATCAGTAGTATTCAGAGTTGGGTGCTCTGTGGTGTTCCTACATGGTTGACCAGGGAAGATGTGTGGACAAGAAGTACTGGACGTGTGTCAAGTCATCGGAAGCCCACCAGACAAAAGACTGTGCCTGATCTAGTCCTGGGAGAAATTGGGTTATTCACAAATGGCAAGAAAGGTAAAAAGGGAAACAAAGTTGTTTGAATAGCAGACCAAGCCCCAGAGTTTTAAGCTATGTAACATTAAAGCGGAGTTCCACCCAAAAGTGGAAGCCCCGCTTACCTGCCTCCTGCCCCCCTCCACTGCCACATCATGCACCTTTTTTTATGGGGGGGGGGGGGGGGTGTTGGTTGTCGAGGGGAGAGCGGGTACCTGGTTTTGACAGGTACCCACTCCCGATTCTAGCTCAATTTGCAGCGGCATACACACAAAGAAGAGTGAGGAGCCAGGATCACGAGAAGAGGATCATGGCCACTCTGTGCAATACCACTGCACAGAGCAGGTGAGTACGTTTGTTATTTTAATTTAAAAAAACGTAGAGCAAAGATCCTGGGATGTTTGTAAACCCAGGTAAAAGGATCTAGCGCGGAGATAACAAGGAACCTTGTTTGTTAGGATTCTAAACTCAGGTATGTTGAATTCCTATCGCCCGACATGAGGGACATGTAGTTCCGGGCACCCGTCAGCCTCGCGGCAGGGCTCACCTATCAGGTGGCAGCGCTGCCACCCAAATGTTTCCACACAGTACTAGCCTTCTCCCCCCCCCCCCCCCACTGTCTCCCGGGCTCCACTTGCCAATCTGCGGGCCCGGGACCAGCTCACCACTGGCGGCTAGAGGAGAGGGAAAAAAGCGGACATGTCCACTCCCCTTCTTGTCCTGACTCAGAAATGACTTTGTGATGTTACTTCTGGGTCCCCGTTGAGAGATTGCCGGCAATTGAGGCTGAGAAAGAATGTAATGCAGTGCGATGTGCACTGCATTACATTCAGAGGAGGAGAAGGGAGACATCCAGGGTCTTTTAGACCTTGGATGCCTCAAAGAGAACCTGTCACCAAACAAACATCACATAGGGGACACTGTCCCCTACGTGATGAAAAACAAAATTAAGCAGGAAAAAAAAAAAAAAAGTTTTTTTTTTAAACTGTACAAAATTTAAGTTACACCCAACCACATGACATCCCCCCCAAAAAATTAAGCCCCCACATACATGTACAAAACGTAAAAGCACACGCTGGGGAGCCTATGCATGAAAATGTTGATTGCGATACACACGTCACATCGCCGTGTACGCCAGAACGAGAGCAATAATTCTAGCAACAGACTTCCTCTGTAACACTATGACCTAGAAGGGGCTTTAAACGCATCATCTATAGAAATATAGGGTACTGAAGTTCGTCGCCATTTCACCAGTGCATGCAAATGTAAAGTTTGACAAGTTGGATATTTGTTGCAACCTCATCTTTTATATTTTAAAAAACAATTGGGTAATTTATTGGTTTTTTTTTTTTTGGTGCCCTAAAATTAAGCAACTTGTATATTTTACTAAAACTTTGCGGTAATATCATGCGATATAAAAAATTGGAACTACCAATCTTTTATTCTCTAGGGTCTCCGATTTCAGAAAATATATCATGTTTGGGTGTTTTGTGCAATCTTCAGGCTTAAAAAAGTTTTTTTTTTTTTTTTTTTCTTGTGCAAAAAGGTCTCTGGTAGCGAAAGGGATAAAAAAGGATAAGCCCAACACTCCCCCTTTCCTGACAAGCATCCAATCAGTGCTCATTACACTACAAGGTCTCCCTGCTAGTCCCCAAGTGCGATGCTGGAGACGGGCAGGGAGGGGAGGAAGAGATAAACAACGCAATATTAAAGGTTTGTCACCATAAAAAACCTTTTGTTTTTAAAACATTGCCAATATCACCTCCGATTTAAATAAGGTTTTGGTTAATTTTTTTTTTGTTCCCCTATAAGGACAAGTAGATTGTCATGAGGGACAAGTAGATTGGAACACCAATTTAGTCCCTTGGACAAGTACTTTTTCAAAGATGTCCACACCTC